TGGCATATTTCGGCGACATAGCATTCTCGCACTCAGTCTTCCTTGTGGAACTACTTCCAGCTGAGGTAGAATTTGCGGCATTGACGGAAGACGATGAGATTGAGCTTTTAACCTTCTGTCTCTCCTGCTGTCGCTGTTTGGCACGTCGGTTTTTGAACCATACCTGGAAAGTACCGGCTGCGGCCGTAGCTAACTTGACATAAATTTATGACTTTCATGCGTTCTTGCTGCACAGTGTTACAGCGCTACGACATTGAGCAAAGACGCATATTGTCGAGAGGACGTCCGTATGCGCGCGTGTGTGTTTGGAAGCGAGTGAACTTTGTCACCCACTTTCAACTCAGCAATAAGGAAGGCAGGGAAGTTAAAATTTTGGAAACTTATTCCCACCCCGTGTGTCACCCACTCTTTTCAAAATCTTCGTTCATTGGCGCCTAGATCTCGCGCACGGACCTCAAAAAAACATGTGCGAATTTCTTTGGCGGGAAACAATTTCAAGATCCATATAAGGTAGAAAGCTGGAATTTTATGGGGATTTTCTCTACGCTTTTATGAGCTGAAGGTTTTAAATTTTGTCAGAATCACACACACACAGTCACGTCAAAATTCGCAGTTGGCACTGTGCCAACTCAAAAATTAATCGGGAAAGCAATAGCTTAAATTTTGTCAGAATATTTATTTTCCATATGGAAAATTGCATACCCAAATTGAGATTCGACGTGTAGTTGCATCACGACTTAGGGCACTTCAAAGATATTTGTAAAGAAATGGCTATTTTGCTCACTGGGTATGCTGTGAAGCTGAAACTTTGGAAGGATGTTCTATATTCATGTAGATCTTAGATAAGCTTGGAGTTGAAATTACGCTCACGCAGGAACCATTTCTGCTGTTAATGATTTGCAAGTCTAGCGCAAAAACGCATGTTCGCACAAACAAATTTTGCGCATTGCAGCCTGGGTTTTGACATTCATCACGTGACGGTGGAATTTTCGACAATTTACCCCAGCAATATTGCTCTGTAATACTTTTGAGAACCTTTGCGCATGTGATGCTATTCGAAAAAAATCGGCTGCTGGAGCAAAAGCTAGCAACATTAACTCTAGTAACCCTGCCTCTTGGTTTTTTCGCCACTGATTACAAATTTTAAAGGACTAGTACAGTTGCGATATGTATGTAAGAGCATCCTGGAAACACCACACTGACATCAGATTCTCAAACGGAATGTCAGAGAGTCCTTGTAATTCTGGCAGTTTCACGCCTTCTAACGAACCGTGCAACTAGGGGCAATTATTCTTTCACGCCCACTGTAATTATTTTAATACGCCACGGTTTCGTCATTTCCTCTTGGCACTCATTTATTCGTTGAGGAGCTGAAATTGAATACGCTTGAAAATCCTTTTTATACTAGTAGAAGACAATAATTTTTGAAACGCATAATAACTGCGCTAATTTTTTCGGAGCAAGGCATCGCAGTTTGGCGGACAGGTGACGAACTGCAATGAACGTACTAATAAATTCTGGAAAATCTCTGGTTGAACATTTATAACCGAAACTGCCAATCTCTGTTATCTTGTTTTTTCTAAAAATTCCGCAAAAATTAAGCTCTTCCTTCTTCCCTAAATTTTTGTTTGCCACTGCAACAGTTCTGGAAAACGTTCATCGTGAAGTCAATTAAACAATTTTCTGGGATTTTCTTTTGTTGTAAACAGACCTGTATTCGACTCTCCTGCAGATGTATTTGTTCGGCAATTTTCTCCCTGGTAAAAACATCCGGATAGTGTGTTGTAGCAAATAAATTTTCTAGGATTTCAAGCTGATGCCTATTGAAAGTGGTTCGCTCTCGTCGATTTTTCCGCGTTATCATTCCTGAATAGCACAGAATTTTGGGTTACTGTGTTTGCTGAAAGCTCAGGTAAAGCAAAGCAAGACTGAGCAAACCATTTGGGTAGTTGCCAGGAAACATCCCCATTGGTGCCATTGGATGGATTGGTGAATATCCAAAGCCCGATGCCGGATTTGTGGCGGCGGAAGCACATGGCAAGTGAGTATATGCGGCAAATGGTACTCCTCCATACACCATCACATATGTGTTTTTTCGATACCTGAATCGACAATAATTCTAGAATATGCGTCCGTTTTCGACATTTCTGCACGAATTCGCCTTATTTATTAGATTTCAATCTTGAGCTGCGCAACTCCTATTAGTATCCTATGTCTGTCCCGATGTATGTGCAACACCTCTTCGGTAATTGTCTGAACGATTGTTTCTCAAAAATGAGAAAGCCCACACATCCAGTAAATATCCAAAGATTAAGTATCTTGCCCCTGTTCGATGTACGTAGGCCAAAACAATGGTAATCGCTTGAGTGGTCGTTTTTTGAAAATGCCTACATATCTATCAAAACATCTAGGATTTATACGAGTTGCAAGATTTTTGATTGTTAAGAAAAGCGCAGTCCGAGTGTGGAACAAAATTCGATTATTCCTGTTATTTCTCAAAAAACTGTTACCATGGCTCTAAGAAAAAAAGAAACTGATAAAGCTAAAAAAATCCAAAACAACTCCTTTACAATTCTTGACAAGTTTCAGGCATAAAAATTCCAAAAATAATTTTTCGTTTTGTAGAAAAAAAGTGTTGTCCGCGAGCTTTTGCAGATGAAGAAATTGATGAGACTATGTAGAAATTGTTAACAAACATAGTTTGCTC